AAAAAAAAAATTAAAAAAAAAAATTTCGAACTTCGAAAAAGCATTGATTTTTGTCAAAAAACTGAAAAATTCCATATGTATTGACTTACAAAAATTTTTTAATATTTTTTATCGGAAAGTACATCTAAAAACAAAAATTTTGAAAAAAAAAAGGTACCTTAATGTTTAGTTTTGAAAAAGTTATGGCTATTTGAAAATAAAAAAGCCATTTTTTTGAAAAATTCATAACTTTTTTGGAGTTAGGTAAAAAAATTCAAAAAAATTCTGAGAACCGTTTTTTATAGGGTAGAAAAGGATGGAAAACTTTCGGCCAAATCGAAAAGGGTCGGGGTCAAAAGTGGTCGATTTGGCATGGAATACCCCATATACACCAAACTTTTATTTACAATTGTTGCAAAAGAGAATAAATAAAGCCGCGACGACCACAAAGGGTTAGCAGTTTATTTTTGTTTAAAGTTATATAACATTGCTAACAACACACTTTCATCATAACTGTAGAAAAGCCCAGCAGTGTGCTCAAACTTCTAGTTACAAGACTTATGTTGGAAATATTGGTAATAAAAAAGTTGCCTACACCAACAATCGGAATTAAAAAAAAGGACAAGTAGATAGCGAGTAACGATCGGTAGAACAAACTCGAATCTTCGTTAGTCCATAGGCCGACGATAAACACCAATTTTTTCATAATACTCCTAAATTTTACAAACTCCAATTGTCTGTCTAAAGCCATTGGTATTGGGAGAAAGTACAAGCACAGTTTAATAAGAGTCGTTGAAACTTGTCAACTTCAAATTATTGTCAGGTTAACGAGTAAGAGAGGTCGCTCACAAATTTAATTGTCCATTTAATATTAAAAACTCTCTGAAATATATGACCGCTGATTGCAACATAGTTGCAATAATAGTTTTTATATCGATTTTTTATTTTATACATTGTAGAGGGACGTTATTAGTCTTGACGCAACTTTCGACCTGAGCAGATCGGTGTATATAAAGCAAAGTTGCTGTCTGTTTTAATGGCGACAGTTCGTTTAGTAAAGTTTCTTTGAATCTTGCAAAATTTTCTTATTGGTCAGCTTTATTTGTGCTGTTCAAAATTATTTTTTCAAAAAATAAAAAATAATAATAATTTCAATAATAATAAAGTTTTATTTTACACAGTAGTTAAATTATTTTATATTATAAATAAAATTATTGTAAGTGAAAAATAAGAGCTTGTTAAAGTCTGTCAAACTTTTTGGTCAAAAGTTTTCAACAACAAAAAGTAAGATACCGAAGTATTTATGACCTGTAAAGAAAGAAAAAAATTACTCGGGCAAAAATAATTGAAGTACCAAGCCTTAAACTCAAGTAAAGTATAAGCGCCAAATTATTAAGTAATTTTTAAGTCTAAAATAGATTGAAAAATTTTTTTCTATACATTTGTGAAACTTTTAAAAATTGTCTTACTACTTACTTTTACGAACATCTCAATAGTCACATTCAATAAGCCGCAGGCAGTTAATATGAGTGGTTTTTGGGCTAACATTATAATTATTGAAGACTTTAGCCGCGCGTTACCAGCCCAATTAGCGGCGTAGATACTCTCTCTGAATTTTTCGCTCTAATTAAAGAACCAAGTGAAATTTTTAAGATTGTTTTGAAATTATAACTACACAGTAAAAAGTTTTGCGTCATTGTGTCAAAAAATTTAGTGTTAAAAATTTCTATGTTTAATATTTAACAATTTTTTGTGTTGATTTAACAGAATAAATAAATATTTAATACAAAAATTTTTAACACTAAATTTTTTGACGCAATGACGCAAAATTTTTAACTGTGTATGATTAATTACCTCAATAGTTAGCTGTGTACCAGACCAAGCATAGACGTACACTTGAACCAATTTTAGACTTGCGTGCGCTGCGAATATAATCATCGAGATGACTGGTATCGTTTTTGCCTATTTAAATAATTTTGGTCAGTTCAAAATTATAAAATTTGATCCTTGAAAAAGTGAAATATATGAATTGTAAAGCACCTATCAATTACTTAAACTTTCATTGACATTTTTATAATAAAATATAGTTGTAAAAAAATTCCTTCTAATCATTTTAGCTTTTTTCAGAATTTATGCATTACAAAACAAATAATTTGTTAAATTGAGTTATTAAAATTAATAATAACAGCTATTAAATTACTTTTGGCATGTAAGTTCATAATAAATAAATTTGAATTTAAATCCACTAGACGATTTAAGTAGTTCTAAACATAAAACAGTATTATATAATAATTTTCTTATGAAAAAATGAGTATTATTCTAAAAAAAAATTTCTAAGTAACTTACAATAGATAGCTGAAAAATTGCAGCACAAAGAATAAGTGCGTTGACATTCATGGTCCACAAAATGATTGGTCCATAAATTTTTCTCAATTGATTACAAGCTTTTAGCAACACTTGATACTTGTCAACACACTGACGTACGATTATTTCACCATTTTTATCATCGATTATTGAAATATGATACGAAATTTCCCGCAACATTCCAATCAATTGAAAAATATAATACGTGAAAAGCGAATCTAAACTCGAAGTAATAAAAATCATGCTTATAGTCATTACATACTCGTCAAAAAAATAAAAATTGTAGAGCAAACTGCTACGGCGAGCTTTGATAGGATATATCGTCAGATAGAGAAGATTGTACTGAATCGGCCAGACTCGATGTCGCAATTGTTTTACGATTGAAATGATCGGAATGATTGCATAAGACATGCATACAATTGTGACAAATGTTGTGATGAATGTTGGCCAGCGTCGAAAAGTCCTGACTTTACCCAGCACCATATTAGACATTTTTCGCGACTGCAGTAGTTTTTCAAAGTACAGATCTAGCACCGAGTGTAGATCATCCGCATCTTTGCGGTTGATTATGAAACATGCTGCCTTTTAACATAATTTATTTTTTTTAAATACTTTTGATTAAAAAGTCAATCTTTTGTGGTTATAATTCTTTGAAAAAACATTTTTAAATAAAAAAAAAAATAATAACTCTTTATTAAAAATATTTTGAAGGTATTAATAAACCAAATTTTTAGATTATTAATCAATTAAAATTTTTTGAGCAGCGATTTTTGAACCACTGATCATTTAAGGCTTCTCAAAAAAAATTATAACTCCTTTAAAAAACATTTTTAGATCGACAAAAAATAATAACTTTTTATTAAAAATTTTTTAAAGGCATTAATAGGCCAAATTTTGGGATTATTAATCATTTAACATTTTTTGAGCAGCAATTTTTGAACCACTGATCAATCAAAGCTTCTCAAAAAAAATTATAACCTCTTCGAAAAACATTTTTAGATTGAAAAAAAAATAATAACTTTCTATTAAAAATATTTTGAAGATATTAATAGGCCAAATTTTGGGATTATTAATTATTTTTATTTTTTTGAGCAGCAATTTTTGAACCACTGATTATTTAAGACTTCTCAAAAGAAATTATAACTTCTTTTAAAAACATTTCTAGATCGACAAAAATTGATAACTTTTTATTAAAAATATTTTGAAGGCATTAATAAACCAAATTTTGGGATTATTAATCATTTTAAAATTTTTGAACCACTGGTCATTCAAAACTTATTAAAAATGAATTATAACCACAAAGGTTTCGTAAAAAATTTTAAATTCCAAAAAAACATTTGAGAAAGTAACACACTTTTAAAGTAACAGTCAAAAATCCCAGCAGCTGGGTCACAGTTCTGGTTGCGAGACTTATATTAGAAATGTTAGTGATAAGAAAGTTACATGCGCCGATAACAGGGATTACGTAAAACAACAGATAAATGATAAGTAATGAACGGTGTAAAAAACTGGAGTCTTCTTTTGTGCATAAGCCGACAGTAAAAACAAGTTTTCTCATTATGTTTTTGAATTTAACAAACTCTAACTGCTTGTCTTGAACCATGATTCGAGATATGGACAGAAATTGATGAATGTGTAGTTCAAAAAGCCAATTTAGAGTGCAATTTTAAAAATACGATTTGCTCAGAACCGTTTAAGAGCATATGGGCACCAAACTAATGTGGATGAACGGGTAGAAGGGTACTCGCAAACTTAATTGTCCATTTAATATTAAAAACTCGTAGGCTATGACTGTTGATTGCAACAATCACTGCAGTAATAGTTTTTATATCGATTTTTTATTTCTTTTGTTGCAGTGGGGTCGCCAGTCTTCTTTCGTCTTTCGACTTGACCAGATCGTATGGAAATAACGTTGATGCCGGCTTTGACAAGTGTTTTTTGGATCAAAAAAATTATTTTGAATTAACATAAAATATTTTGAGGCAATATTTATCTACGTACACACTTTTAATTATCAGCCAACGTAATGTCAAAGTAAGTTTACAATTTTTATGATCAAAACATGAACTCAAAAAATTGAAGTCAATTTTTTTGAAACTATTGAAATATTTATATTTACTTATTTTTTTTTTAAACAAATGTACAGTATGTACTTTAGACATTTTTTATTAGTTATGTTCCGTGTGATAATTTGATTAAACTTCTGGTTCAAAAGTTTTTAGTAACAAGTAGTACGAAATAGTGGTGTTGATCACCTAAAACAGTGTGTTAGAGTTTTAGGGTGTCAAAATAAAAATATAAAAAATGAAATTTATAGTTACCGCTTGAAACATATCAATAGACACAACTGCAAAGTTGTATACTCTTATCGTCAGTGGTTTTTGCGTGAGCATCACAGTTAACGATTTTATTAATCGGTTATTTCCAATCCAATTCCCGTCGTAAATTGCTACCCGCAATTTTTCACTCTAGTGAAGTGAAAATTCCCGAGTTTAATTACATTTTTATTGACACACATAATTTATGTTATATCAATGAGTATATGACATGATAATTAGACCGGCTAGTTACCTCACTGGTTATTCGTGTTCCTGACCACGAGTAGAGGAAAACTTGGGTTAATTTCAACCCAGCGTGTTCTGCAGATAGTATCGCTACCGTGATAGGTATTGTGGTTGCCTAGTTTCAGGAAAAACATATCTATTATATATAAATAGAAAAAAACATTCTTTGAAACACTACAAAATTTTCATTTTGTTCAAAAACTATAAAAATTATGTCTTAAAATAATCTGATAAAAAATAGGATAAAAATATAAGTGGGGTCCACCCTATTTTTGGCCATATCTAACTGAAAAAATGCTTGTTTTTACGGCACATTTATGATACAAAATATCGTGAAAGAAAAAAATAAAGATTTCGATAGCTTTTTTGCCTTCTAAGGTTGGAAAAAATTTTGGCTCTCATGTTTTTGGATAAAATTTATATTTTATCTTTTTTTGATATATTTTTTTTTGTGAAAACTACATAAAAAAACGAACAATTTAAAAAAAAAAATTGAATACCACAATTTTCTACAAAATTTATAAATTTTTCTGAAAATTTGTTAAAATTGTGGTAATCAACTTTTTTTTTGAACTAGGTTCGATAATTTAGGCTTTTTTATCAGCTCGTCGTAGTATGAATCGAGTGATTCGTGCAAATCGTTAACGTCCTTGCGGTAGACTTGGATACAAACTGCCTTGCAACAAAAAACAATTTTTTCATTATATTTAACTACAATTTATTGTAAATTATGTATGAATTTACTGGCGACGCACTTTCATCAGCACTGTCGAAAATCCAAACAGCGTGCTCATACTTTTAGTCACTAGTTTGACGTTTCCGTGCTTTTAGTGCTATTAGTGCTTTTGAAAGTATTTAAAAATCAATTATATTAAAATTAAAGATTTTGAGAGTGAAAATAAATTAATTTTGATAATTATATCCAAAAATTAGTTCTCCATGGAGTTCTCCAATGCATTGGAAATTTTGACAGTTAAATCAAAAATTTGAACTTTCAAAAAAATATTTTTGATTTCACCAAATTATATGAGTAAGTACAAATTGTCAAATTTTTAAACTTACCCAGTAAAAAATTTTGCGTCATTGCGTCAAAAAATTTTTTGTTAAATATTTACAGTTAAATATTACATTTATATTATTGTGTTAAATTAACACAGAAAAGTGTTAAATTAACACAAAAAAGTGTTAAATATTTAAGACAAAAATTTTTAACACAAAATTTTTTGACGCAATGACGCAAAATTTTTTACTGTGTAATTGTATTAAAAGTTCAAATTTTCAACCTTATATTTCACAAGTTTCAATCTCTAATTTTCACAATCAAATTAATTATTTAAAAGACTTGATAATTGACTAAAGAAGAATTAAATTGAAAATAACACTTTATTAAAATATATAACATTTGTCCATTTCGAATAAATTTGATACATATATAACTTATGCTTCATCAAAAGTGTTAAGAAGTAAAAAGTACGAAGCTGTAGTATTTAAAACCTTTGAAAAAAAAAAAATTACTTAAAAAAACATCTAAAAATATAAGATGAAAGATCTAGCGTGCTTACCGATCCAAACATTTCAACAGAAACAATTGAATAATTGCAAGCCGTCAAAATAAGGGGTTTTTGGGCCAACATGATGATAATGTTCCGCATGAAGCTCTTGTTTCCAACCCAGTTAGCAGCGTAATATGCCGCTCTGCAATCTTCACTCTATTGACGATAAAAAGAACCTTTTTGAGTAAAATGGCATTGAATGATTAAATTTTTGGACTTACTTCGGCAGTAAGTCGCGTACCAGCCCACGCGTAAATAAATACTTGAATCAACTTAACGCCTGCGTACGCTGTAAATAGAATTATCCTTCCTATAGATATGGAACTCATCTGACAAACAATACATGTCTCATATTTATTTAGTATTGTATCTAAGTGTCCGTAATATGTGTGTGATTATAAAAAATACTTTACTTGACTGAGCTGGAAGGTAACAGCGCATAATATCACAGCATTAGTTCCCATTGTCCACAGGATGATGGGTCCGTAAATACGCTGGAGCTTTCGACATGACGCTATTAAAATTCCGTACTGAAAAACACACCTTCGAACAACCAGGTCACTAGATCCTTTGTCGTCATTGTCTTCGTGGAAGTGCTTCATGCGGTAAGATATTTCCCGCAAAAATCCAATAATTTGGAAAACATGGAGTGAGTACAAATTATCCACGGCAATTGTTATTAAAATTATACTAAAAATGGCGAATGACTCTGTCAAAAAGTGCACTCGGTAGCGAAATCCATTCGGGGGTATTTCCCAATTATAAATTGTCGGAAATGGGAGAATATATTTTATGTGGTCAGCTCCACGAATTAATTGGGAAATTATGAAAATAATTGGAATTATTATGTAAGACATGCAAGCAACAACTACGAAAAATATTGCGACGTAAGATAGCCGTCGGAATGTCGTTATTTGGTCCAATACTATGTTGGTCATTTTTGGATCACGGATCAGGTTGTTGTAATGCGAGACAAGCATTTTACGCAAATCTTTTACGTCTTTTCGATTTAGGACTATTGCAAATCCCTTGAAAAAAAGTATTTAAGATAATAAATGTTGTTGAAAAAATAACAGGACTTACTTTTACGATAACTGTCAGGTAACTCGCCAGAAGACTAAAACTTTTGGTCGCAAGAGAAACATTTGTAAAATTTGTTCTGAAGAAATTGAACACTCCAATAAAAGGTAAAATACATGTTGACATCTGCAAGTAAATTATTGAACGACAAAATAGAGATGATTCTTCTGGCGACCATAGTCCTATTGTAGACAGTAATAATCTGATGAGGTTTTCGTAAGCTATGTACTCCGCTAATTTACTTTTACTCATTTCTGAGTATCAATTAAGTGACGGTAAATAAGATAATTTCTTAAAGTTTTTGACAAAAATTACTCTGAATATTGTATGATGTTGTTGAGTCTTTGGAAGAACAAGTTCTGGGAATATATTTTTAAGTGGGCAATTATATTATTTTGTTATATTGTTGGCCAATTTAATAAAATAAGTTTAGAGGAAACGTAATATTTTGTTTTAATCGGTTAAATATTGATTGAAACGTAGTATAGAGAGCGCTAGAGTACCAGTCGAAATTCAACCATCTTCTTTAACAGATCGGGAAGTGTAATTTTTTTTTGTTGGTGTCGTTTTATTGATTTCTCTTTTTTCAAAAATTTACTGTACAATTTTCTTAGTAAAATTTTTAATACACAAATTAGAGGTAAGTTTTTGAAAAAATTTGGATATTGTGAAAAAATTTATTAAAGATACATTGACAAAAATGAAATGGAAATGATTTACTGTTCACTAGTTAATACTACGAAACTAATGAAAAGTGAGCGTTGACATTTATGTTAATGTCAACTTTTATAACAAGTTTAGACGAATGATTTTCAAGATAACTTTAAAATATTCACTGGTACAGAAAATATTTTACTTATTTTCCAATTTATAAAAATTGTATTTTAACAATTAAGACTGCTCAGCAAAAGTGTTAAGTAGTAAAAAATAGGATATTGTGGTGTTCAGAACCTAAAATAAGGTAAATGTTTAGTAATGTAAAATGAATCATAATAAAAAATCAACTTACGGACATAAATACGTCCATTGAAACGACTGTGAAGTTACAAGCCTGCAGTATAAGCGGCTGTTGTGATAGCATAATAATAACCGAGTGCATAAAAGGCTTGTCACCGACCCAATTAGCCGCGTACATGGCGTCTCTGCATTTATCACTCTGTGATAATATAAAAAGTTAATTTTTAGTTATCAAACAAATTTGCTTTTGTTAAATTTGGTTTTTATTTCTCAAGTATTTAAAAATATAATCTATAGAGTAAAAATTAATTTAATTCAAAAAAGAGATCTTGATAAAAAAAACATTCAAAAAATTTTTTTTTCTTTAATCAATTCAAATTTAACAAAACAAAAAAGCTTTTGATTCTAAAAAAATAAACATTAAAGTTTGGTTTTAATTTTTTTTTTTAAGTGCAAAAATTAATTTTTATTCAGATAAAATTTAATTTTGTCAAATGAGAAATAAAAACATTTATAAATTAAAAGTTTTGGTACCTCAGCAGTTAAAAGTGTGCTCACCCATGCGTAAATAAACACTTGAGAAAATTTAGCCCCAGCGTATGTCGAAAATAAAATAATTCGGCTAACAGATATAGAAGTCATCTGACAAAAATAAATCCTTTGAAAATGATATTTATTAATACGTTCAAACACGTAATACTAATAACAATATTTTTACTTGGCTGAGCTGAAAAATAACGGCACACAAAATAATAGCATTTGTGCTCATCGTCCAAAGTATCACGGGACTGTAAATTCGTTGTAGCTTATTTTTGCAATATATCAACGTTTCGTAGTAGTTCATACACTCCCGTACCACAACGGCACTCGACTCTTTGCTCTGCTCATCAAAACCAATCATTCGCTGGGAAATTGCACGAAGAAGGCCGATCATTTGGAAAATGTAGTGTGTGTAGAGGTTGTCCACGCCGACTGTTATGCAGATTACACTTAAAACAGTCAACGACTCGTTGAGAAAATGGAGCTTAAAGCGAAAGCTATTTGGCGGAATGCTCCACCCGTAAACCGCCGGAAATGGCAACATATATTTTATGGGCTTCACTCCTTTAATTGCTTGGCTTATCATCCCAAGAGCGGGAATAATTATGTAAGACAGGCAAGAAATCGCGACGAATATCGACATTGTGTAAGACAGCCGTCGAAAAATTGTTACTTGCTTCAAAACTGGTTTCTTCAGTTTATTATTCGACAGAAATTTTTGGTAACTCGAGCCCAAAATTTCATTAAGCTCATTTACATCTTCGCGGTACACTATTATGCAAACTCCCTTAAAAAACAATTCCAAAAATTTTTAATTTTGGAGAACTAAATGTTACACAGTAAAAAATTTTGCGTCATTGCGTCAAAAAATTTTGTGTTAAATATTTAACACAAAATTTTTTGACGCAATGACGCAAAATTTTTTACTGTGTAACATTTAGTTCTCCAAAATTAAAAATTTTTGGAATTGTTTTTTAAGGGAGTTTGCATAATAGTGTACCGCGAAGATGTAAATGAGCTTAATGAAATTTTGGGCTCGAGTTACCAAAAATTTCTGTCGAATAATAAACTGAAGAAACCAGTTTTGAAGCAAGTAACAATTTTTCGACGGCTGTCTTACACAATGTCGATATTCGTCGCGATTTCTTGCCTGTCTTACATAATTATTCCCGCTCTTGGGATGATAAGCCAAGCAATTAAAGGAGTGAAGCCCATAAAATATATGTTGCCATTTCCGGCGGTTTACGGGTGGAGCATTCCGCCAAATAGCTTTCGCTTTAAGCTCCATTTTCTCAACGAGTCGTTGACTGTTTTAAGTGTAATCTGCATAACAGTCGGCGTGGACAACCTCTACACACACTACATTTTCCAAATGATCGGCCTTCTTCGTGCAATTTCCCAGCGAATGATTGGTTTTGATGAGCAGAGCAAAGAGTCGAGTGCCGTTGTGGTACGGGAGTGTATGAACTACTACGAAACGTTGATATATTGCAAAAATAAGCTACAACGAATTTACAGTCCCGTGATACTTTGGACGATGAGCACAAATGCTATTATTTTGTGTGCCGTTATTTTTCAGCTCAGCCAAGTAAAAATATTGTTATTAGTATTACGTGTTTGAACGTATTAATAAATATCATTTTCAAAGGATTTATTTTTGTCAGATGACTTCTATATCTGTTAGCCGAATTATTTTATTTTCGACATACGCTGGGGCTAAATTTTCTCAAGTGTTTATTTACGCATGGGTGAGCACACTTTTAACTGCTGAGGTACCAAAACTTTTAATTTATAAATGTTTTTATTTCTCATTTGACAAAATTAAATTTTATCTGAATAAAAATTAATTTTTGCACTTAAAAAAAAAAATTAAAACCAAACTTTAATGTTTATTTTTTTAGAATCAAAAGCTTTTTTGTTTTGTTAAATTTGAATTGATTAAAGAAAAAAAAATTTTTTGAATGTTTTTTTTATCAAGATCTCTTTTTTGAATTAAATATTTAACACAAAAATTTTTAACATTAAGTTTTTTGACGCAAAATTTTTTACTGTGTATAATTTTTGTGAAAAAATGCTTAAGTAAAATTTTTTACTTACTTTTAAAATAATTGTTAAAAAACTTACGATTATACTTAAGCCTCTAGTTAGATAAAAAACATTAGTGATGTATTTTTTCAAAAAATTAAAAATACCAATCATTGGTAACACAGACATGGACATTTGAAAATAAAGAATTGAACGTTGTAACAAAGTATTGGGGTCGTTAGGCGAGGTTTTTAACCCGAGCATTGTCAGTATAAGTTTTATAAAATTTTCGTATTCTATGTAACTAGATATACTGTCTTGAGTCATTGTCGAATATAAGTTAAACGGCGATAAATAACAAAATAAGCCGATTACAAATCGTTTCTGGCAAAAAAATTATTCTCAAGTTTGTTACTATCAAATGGTACTTATTGCATAAAAAATTCATAAAAACAACATTTAATTGGGCAATTTTGTACTTTTTACAATTTAATAAAGTTTTGAGACATAATAATACTCGTTTGTTTTAATGTTTCAAATATTGATCCAAAATTTAGTAGAGTGCGCTATAGTATCAGTTTTAATCCAACCGTCGACATGAACAGATCAGACTGGTATAAACTTTGTTTACTGAATTCGGTAGAAAAAATTGTCTTTTTTTGTGAGTAAATTTGTGCGGCTAAACTATTACGACCAGAATAAAAATTCATTTTTAAAATAGCGCTTTAGTTTGTTGTTAAATTCAAATTGTAAAGCTTGAAGACAATAAAATAAAATTCAAAATTGCAGCATGAAGGTAAAAAAATGTTTCTTTTGTAAAATGATTAATTTTTTATTAAAAAATTGTAATAATTTATAAATAAGTTTGAAATAAAATAAACAATTTAATTTTTAAATACTTGAAAATTTTATATGAAAAAAAGAACAATTTTAAAATGATAAGTTTAGTGTGGTTACAGAGATGAAATTATGCTGACTTTAAATGCCATGTTTTATACTTCCTTCCATGCTCGTCTCGGTTTTTGCGGTGAAAAATGAAACTCTCGTTTCGGTCTAATGTTGCAATACTCTTCTGGCTTCTAACCTCCTGAAATCTGAGTCGTTCAATTTTTTTTTACACTACCATCTTTACCGTAACAATATTCTTTTATAATTTATTATTCCTCTTTGAATACAAAGCTATCCTTTTCTCAAAAGAAACATATCTCTATTACCCAGTATTATCACCTTAGCAAACCATCACAAGCCATTATTACTTGAATAAATTAAAAAAAAAAAAACAATTTTTCTAACCACATTTATTTTTTTTCTAAACTCTTATTCAAAATTTCAAGAGATTTATTTTATTAAAAAGGTTTGTAAGGCTTTAATGGTTAATTAAAAATTCACGATCTTCTCCGAAACCGCTGACACTATTAACACCTCTGCAGAGTAATATAATGGGAAATCAGCAAGTTAAAAATTAATTAAAAATGTCTAATTAAATGAACACAAACAATAAAAATCATGCATAAGGTTATTTTTTTAAATTTAATTTTTTATTAAAAAAAATCTCGGTTTAGTTCCAAAAAATCACGTCGCCAACGTTGGCGCTACTTTCCAAACCAAGAGAAAGATTTACTTGGGATAAGTATATGACATTATTAGTTCAAGAATAAACAAGAACTTGAAACAAGAAGTAAATTTTGAAGAAAAAGATTTTCTTGAGTCAAGATGACTTTTTTTTCTGTGTGTCGATATAAGAATTTAATTGAATACTCTTCTTGGAAAGGATAAAAAAATTTTATGTTTACACGGAAAAAAGTAAACTGTAATATTCACTTGGATTCCGGTTAATTTTTATAATTTCAAACAGTAAAGCGAACATCGGCGTGGCAAAAATATAAATATTACAGAACTTAATGTAGAAGTATAAAAGCCACAATTTATAATTTAATATCCATAATAAGTGATTAGTAGCTGTCACTATAGTAAATAACGACTCTTGAATCTTAAAAAATTACAGTTTCAAACAGTAAAAATTATCCTTTTAAAATATACATTTTACCAGTTCAAGCAAGTCAATAATTACAGTTTGATTTTTAGCGTTGCGTTTAAAATTTACCATTTCACTTTGTAAATATTGACGTTACTTGTATTACAAATTTACTAACTTTATTTTATACTTTTTACATATCATAAGATCATTTTTTAGGTACGAAATGATAAATATCAGTCTGAATTCTTAATTATTATACTTAAATATTTTAGACATTTACATAGCGAATATTACTGTTTGAAATAGTATTTTCTTCCATGTAAAGAGTAAGAGTAAATTGTAACGTTTAAATGGGAAATATTATAAAGTGAATAGTAAAATCACGATTTTAATGTTTGAAATGGTAATTTTTAGCAGTTGATCATTACTTATTATAAATCAACTGTTATTTATTACAGTTTACTTTTTTCCGTGTAAAAATATTTACTTTTTAAATTTCACTAGCTCGTTTCTAAAATAAATAATGGCATAAAAAAATGAAATAGCAAGAAAATTCTTTTGAATACTTTTGAACTCTTATCAACAATCACAAAAAACGTTATCTATAGCAATATATCGAAACTATTGTGTAAGAACCCAACAAAGAATTTTTGACGTTTAAATTTATCTGGAAAGCATGCAAAAGCATCGGAGCATCTACACGTTGAGATGTGCATCGAATACAAAGTATCCCCGGAGTTTTTCATCAGGAGCAGAGTTGATCATTCAAGCATTTTTCGCACACTCTGCTTCTAAAGTTAAGTCACGGTTACAACCGGGAAAAAAGGTCGACAGCAAAGTTACTGTTATGTATCAAGTTTCTAGTATTTTCCCGGGCTTGGGGTCTGGATGTGTGTGAGTGTGGGTGTGTGACGTGGAATGCGTGAATTCGGGCAACAATAAGTTGGTGAAGGAAGAGAATAAATGAGAATGAATGAGAGTGATAATGTAGGAGGGAAGACAAAATTAGAGAGGAAATGAGAGAATGAGAGTTGTGCAAGACTATTATAAAGAATGTTAAATAATAGACGAAGGCGCGTGGCGAACGAATGACAAGTTCAGTTTCTCTGTAGAGAGCCCGGAAAGCCCATCAGTGTGATGGCTTTTACTTAGAGCTTTCTACTTTCTAGCTCCCTCTTCTACGTAACCGAATACCAGAAGACAGGATAGCAGTCTGTCTGTGAGTTCTGTATATTTAAAGGCGCAAACTATTTGTTTGTAGTAGGAATGTCAAATTGTATGTTTGTGACACACGACTATACTATACTACGTGCAGAGCGATTTACGCTTTCTACAAATGAATGAGGTTTAAATGGGATCCCTTGATGAGCTTCTCGAGAGTTTCATTGTTCTACAATCTGTTTAGATATTGCATGTCGAGGAGACGCAATAAGTTCGAGAATATGATGCCTCAATTAATTTCAGGAACACTATATTGTTGCGCCCAGAGTTAAGTGTTATCCTTAAACTCGAGCGTGAAATCTAAAATCAAAAGTATGGTTTAACTTAAATTTTTCAGGTTTAAGTTCCATTGAAAAAATTGTCATAAGTTAATTTTTATGATAAATTTTTAAATCAAGTTTTTTATTATGGAAAAAATTTATTGATAGGATATTACAAAATTTTAACTATCCAAGATGTTTATGAAAACTGACTTACTTATGTAAAAAATTTTTCTGATATGACTAACTATCAATGTTGATATGTTTTCAATGAAAACTAGCAACCTTGCAGTCACTATGTGACTGCCGTGGCTTGTGAACTATAAGTAAATAAAATTTTGCTTTATTAAATAATGACTTTTATTAAATTGCACTGTACTTTGTTAACTATTGACATTTTTAAAGATATAAGCTCATCCCGATGTTACATTCATCAAGAGCTTTCATTTGAGTACCCACATGCATTTTAATATATTTTTCATATATACATATATAATATATATATAAATATATGAAAAATTGATGTGGGTACTTAAATAAAAGGTCTTGATGAATATAACATCGGGGTGAGCTTATATCTTTAAAAATGTCAATAGTTCACAAGATACAAGTCGTTTCTTAATTATATTAAATTGCAAAGTACTTTCTTGAATATTGATGTTTTTAAAGATATAAACTCATCCAAATGTTACACTCATCAAGAGCTTTCATTTGAGTACCCACATGCATTTTGATATATTTTTCATATATACATATAAGGTACATATAATCGTGGACATTAATTTAAGTATGTTTTTAAGTTTACTGCAAAATAGCCATTTATAAACTCGAACGTTTATATACTATAAATTTGAAAATTAATTGATGTCATTTGTAAAATTAGTCGCAAATAAAAAATGATATTAATGAAATTAGCGAATTGGAAATTTCACCAAATATAAATTCGGTCATTTATAAAATAGCGAAAAATAAAAATTTGTGGCTATGTGAATTTAGCCAATTCTTACTACAGAAACTTATAAAATTAGCCGATTGTAAACTTTGTGAATTGTAAAATTAGCCGTTTCTAAATCTCTCGTAATTCTTGAATGGATCGACGGATCAAAAAACGATTTGAGGCATCTAAAAGTACTTTCATAAATTTAGTTTTTCTGAAAATTAGAGCAGATTCGACCGACCCATTCAAAAGTTATAAGAAGTTTAAAAACGGCTAATTTTACAATTCGTAAAGTTTAAAATCGGCTAATTTTATAAGTTTCTGTAGTAAGAATTGGCTAAATTCACATAGCCACAAATTATTGTTTTTCGCTATTTTATAAATGACTGAATTTATACTTGGTGAAATTTCCATTTCGCTAATT